GCACGAGCACTTCTCACTAATTTCCATACTTAGCCCCAAATTTTCAACTCCTCATCAAATTTTCAATCAAATCTCGACCTCAAAACCCGTTCTCACCCTCAAAAATCATGCGTGTCGTGCGGCTCGTGGAGCTATTTATTCTCGAACAAAAACGAAAAACCAGAAAACGCAAAAACCGTGGGTTTCCTCTCACGAAGCGCTCATTTTACGTCTTGAGCTCGACGTTTCCAAGGAAAACCAACCGGGATCTAAGAAGAAATGACGATCATGCCACGCCTTTGTATTTTCCAAGAGAAGTCGCGACGGTCGTACGGAACAAAGGCGGGCAAGGTAAGCTCTCGTGGCCACATTCTTGTGAAACCGAGCACGGATTTCGACAATCAAAAAGAAGAGAGATAGATCTTTACGCATCATGGCCCTATACTCGACCTCCAAAAATATAAAAATATCCGTGGAGCACGTTGAATCCATCACGGGCATCGTTTGCACTATCTCAAATGTGTACTCATCAAGCTCAAGCATCGGGAGCACGGGCGTAGGCACACTAAACTCCTCCAAATGGTCACGATCCTATATAATACGAAACGACGCCTCAAAGGACATGGGCACCACTTTATCCTCAACATCCCAAGGCATCTCATCCGCACACGACACATCTGGCTCAACAACATCATCTAAATGCTCGGATTCCTCCTCACTACCATCATCATCCTCCTCCTCATCATCACCAACACCTTTATTACCCCTCGACTCACTCAAATCCTCAATTGAATTATCTCCCAATCCATCCTCAACACCAACTGCTGAAACCATACTCTCCTCCTCAACAATCGAATCAAAACCTGAAGCACCATCAACGGAAGAAGATTTTGACGTACCTAGTGTTGATTGCAAGTCCACGTCATCACAAGGAAGAAGTTCTTTAACAATAAGCTCATCGATGTCCTCACTCGTGTCTAAAGGTTGAGTTCTATCGTACACGGGAGTGAGGCCCTTCTCTTTCAAAGAAGCAAAACGATCCACCATAACTCGAAATTCGCTCTCTAATCGAGTGCTCTCTCGAATAAGCTTCGCCGATAGAATAGAATATCTACCGAGCGGAATAGAAGATGAATCAAAGTCGATAAAAGACACCACGGTGGAGTCGAACTTCTCAAGTGTAGCACGGAGAACGGATGGAATCTGGATGCACCTCCAACTATTAAACTCCTCGATGATCGATGCGAGGCTCGCGAGTGCGTCTTGAGTTCTCGCCAAAACTTCTTGGTGACGATCGATCGGCCCAACCTCGGAATGAAATAAAGCTCCAAGACTAGATGAACGAGGTTGGCCAACTGATGGGTGCTCAAATACCGGATAGGGAAGGTTGAAGGACTCGGCTTCGTCGTTTTTGGATAGGGAGGCTAATGAAGCACGAAGGGATTGAGCGTCCTCCTCCAAATTTTCCACGATCTTTTCTAATTCGGTTGGAGGGGCTCGAGTCGGCTCAGGTGGAGGCATAACATCATAAGAACTGGGAAGTGGAAGATAGTAGAGAGGCGTCTCGTCATAAGCCGGATAGTGATCATAATAATCGCGTTGGGGTGTGGAATAAGGGTGGCTCGGGCCAAATGAGTTCATCTCCCCTTGAGAATTGTCGGGGTATCCACGAAATG